TTAGGTCAAATTTGCTTCCAAGTTTCATGGATTAGGGCTAATTATCCCAGGGTGTAAGCCTAATTTTGCCCATCAATAAATTACTGGTTTATATATTGGTGGTGTGCTCAAAGGCAATCTAACCTACATTATTCCAGATGGGTTGCTTGAAATCTTCAAATGCAATTTGAAAAAAATGAGAAGAGAATGTAATACTTATCCTTAGAAATAGAGTTCACACAATTATAAACTGCTTGACTAAACACTAGACCCACTGGTGTCTAATGCTGCAATGCCAAGCACAGTACTTTCCAAGGGGGTAAATTGAGGACAAACTGCTCAATTCCCTGGACCTTCTCATTCACTCCCTACTCCCTTCTCTTCCTCTGCCAAACCCTCCAGGCTCTCCGATCATGACTGCTCCTCAGCTTTGCCACTATGTGCAGAGAACTTTGGGATGAGAATGAGCAAGGTAAGCAAGAAGGAATGCCATGCTCCCCTGGCTTTCAAAGGACCATGGACACACATGAAAGCACACCCAAATGCATCTTTATACATCCCAAGAGCAAATGCCTGCAGAGAATTCCAAGATGACCGTATTTTTATTTCCTTGTGAAGTTCAGGATATCTCGTACCTATTTTAACTTCTGAATTACACAGATCTGTTAGGTGACTTTACATCACCACTGTGCTTCCCTGAGAATCCCAAATTACTGAGGTTCTAAGGATCCTGAGAAATTATGCATCCTAGTAATATTTAATCACAGTGTGGAAGAAAGATGATATCCGAAAATATAATGAAAGCCAGGGGCCCTTTCCCCAGTTAATAAATAGTTGTGTACATACACAAACAGAGGCACAACCTTATGTATACAAATCTCAAGTTTTTCAGACCTCCTGAAGTTTACCCTTGATTATCCTGATGTCTATGAATCCATGCTGAGAAAATTTTATCTAACCTACCCCATACTTTTTTTTTGTTTTTTGTTTTTTGGGGGTTTTTGTTTTTGGTTTTGGTTTTTGGTTTTGGTTTTGGTTTTGGTTTTGGTTTTTTGCCATGAGACAAATGCCCTGGCCAGAAAGAAACAGAGAAACGGAGAGAGAGGGAAAGTGAGAAATCACACTCCCCTCCCCCACAGGGAATAGCTTGCTGCAATCCCTTCTCCTCCAGTTGCCTTTCAGGATTTTGGACATATACACACATGCTGGGTGTGATTTTCAAGCCACCAGGTCCAGGACTTGAACATTTATTGACCTTCACTGTGCCACTTGCTGGCCCTACCTACCCCATACTTTTAAAATAAATAATAATAATAAAGACACACAGATACACAAACAAAAATCCATCAAGATTAAGTAACTTGTTCAACAAAACATGTCCAGCAATCTGGGTCCAAAAATCCACATCTTTGGACTCTACTTAAATGCCACTCCCACAAGTTGCTTGCTTTCCTGTCTTCTTTTATCTAGGTGATCAAAGAAAATGACACTGGCTTTTTATGGAACTCTTAGAAGGAATATTTACTAAAACTTTTGTACATCTTAAATGTTTGCAAGTAATTCTTAACCACAAAACTTTAGTGCTTATCTAAAGATAATAGATAATATCTAGATAATAATAGCTACCCACATGAGTTAGGTACATCATCTTTTTTTCTTTTTCTTTTTCCTTTTTTGACTTGTAGTGCTATTATGACTAGGCAAGTAATTCTTTGGTAGACAACAATTCTTAGATTGTGTACTCAGATTCAGCTATGTTAAATACAACATAGCTACCGTCCAAATGAACTTTTATAAAACATGGATAAAGACCTGAGTTATATCGTTGGTCTCATCTCTATCGAGAATAGCCTAGAAATATGTTTCCCCAGGAAAAGAGAAATGGAATGTAGACATGGTTTGGAGTTTTTTCAGAGTTGGTGTTTGGTTTTCCCAGATGCCCCAAATTAAGCGAACTCATATTCTCTGGTTATCACTCAAACTGAATTGACTTTGCTACTGGTTTCCCAGATCCTTCTAAAAACGAAAGGATTTTCTTCTGGCATTTTAATCAGTGATTAACAACTCCCTTCTTTTTCCTGCTGGGTTAAGTAAAAGATCCATATGCTGGGTGTTCTAGGGAATCTGTTAGGCTGTAGATCATAGCTGTGGTGCAAGACGTGATGTGTCCCAAGGGAACTAAAGAAGCCATAAGGAATGTAAAGAGTCACCGGGTTAAAGCCACATTAAGACAGCTGCTACGTTAATGAGGGCTCTGCTTTGGAGAGGAGGTCACTGTATGGAAAAATATGAACCAATCTTTATTGGTTTGATCCCATGTCCTCTGAAAGTTAATGGGCCATTATTATCATGCTTTGACATTCACTGAGCCAGATGAGAATGCTGGATACCGTGCAAGCTGCAAGGCTTTAAAATTCTCTGTTCCCCATTCCCATGTGTGACAAAGGCAGGAATGAGGTGAAGCAACACCAAATATTCTTTTCAGTTTTTCATCACCTTCCTTGTCTGATCGCTTTAAAATAAATGTTTATCTTTCAACACACACTGAGTTCAGGACTGTTACTTGATCTCGCTTAAGAACAAATCCAGAATGCAGGTTTGGCCGGCCATGGAGACTACAGACTAAAAACTGGAATATAGTGAACATTCAGAAGAGGGATGACTGGATCTTACTTCTCATTTAAACCAAGTATTCACAGTACTATAATAAAGGCAGAATATATTTTTATATATTGAGCTCTCGGAAAAGTCATGAAGTATTTTTTTCTGTTATTCTATGCAAAAATGCATCATGACTGTTCCAACAACCTATTATATGCATGTGTATATGTCTATGTATATGTGTGTGTATGTGTGTGTGTGTGTGTGTGTGTGTGTGTGTGTGTGTGTAGTACTTATAGCACCGATGTATAAAATATTACAGTATAGTAATACTATAGAATTCTGCTACCCATTTCTTTGGGATAGAGTGTTCCTTCCCACTGCACAGTATAGAAATGAAATCCATAAAGCACAAATCATGATAATGTAATGGGAAGAAACACTCTGTATCCCAGTGAAATGTTAGAGTAATTCAAGAGCCCCAACTTAAAAACATCAAGGATAGAAACCTCGGTATATCTGTGATTCTTCTCTCACTCACCCTTCTACCCACCTCCAGCTCACACAACCAGTTGCCCATATTCTACCTCTGAAACCTTTCGCCACCATCCCTTCCTTGCCGCTCCAGCCACCATCACCTTTCTCATGCTGAAGTCCCCACTGCCTAGCACATTGTGTGAGCTCTCTAGCCTGAAACCCAAGACGCCCACAGACAGTCCTCAGCCCTGCCACCATATTCTTTCCACCACCCTACCACTCCTGACATTCTAGCCAAACTGAACCGTCCACCATTCTCTCTACATGATCAGAGTGAAAATAAAAGGTCATCATATATGTAACCACTTCCAATTCTGTGCCTTTGTTTGGATAATTCTCTAGTACAAATATACTCTCCCTGTCCCATGACTACCCATCTAGCCTAGAAATTCTCTCAAACCTGCCCAAATAGGCCTCTCTTATTTCTTCCAAGATCTCATCTTTTCCTTTTTTCAACTCTGATTGCACTTTTTCCTCTCTCTCTTGACATTTTTCACATCTGCTTTTAAAATTATTCTCGTGTTTACCCTATTACCCATGTTAGACTGCGGTACTTTGAGAGATCTGCCTTATTTCATCTTAGCATTCCTTGACTTTTCTAATACTATTAAATATCTTATGGAAAGTTAAATAAAACAATCCTTCTATGTAGGCCCTACAGCCTGGAAGAGGCTTCTTTCATAAAATTCTTCAATAGGAGCGTGAAATGGGTGCATATGTGAAAGACTGATCAATCTAAGGACCATGGCAACTGACACATTATTGAATCTCCAGCCTGACTTTGACTATGAAAGTCAAGATTCTGGCAGTAATACAGAACATTTCTAAGTAAAATAACTAAACTTCTGGGTCAGTAAAGAGTTCTAGACTCCCTAAGACACTTGTATTCTCTCCAGTAGCACTTTACCAACTTGAAGGAGAAATTCATCGCTAATGATGAAAATATTATTCTACACTCAATACAGGCATATTGCATCAAAGTAGCATTTTCCAGAAGTTTCAGAGCACTTTTAAGAGTTCAAAAGATAATTAACATGTTCTTAAAAATAACATAGTTGCTAGAAATGCTTCCAGACTACCAAATCCTTACAGAAAAGGATTGTCCTTTGTACACCTTGGCACTTTTTCAGAATTGAAAAGCAACAGAGAGGAAGTATATGAAATCCAATTACTTCTATATTAGCTATCCAGCTACTTGAACATGAGTAATTACTTAAATAATAAGAGTCTTAGTTTCCTCATCTATAAATTGGAAGTAGTTTGGCCAGCCTTATAACTAGTGTTTAAGGAAGTCAGATCTCATGTAGCCCACCACAGTTCAAATCCTGGTCCCACTGACTTGAAGAATGCACTAGCACATATGTGTGTGCCCAGAATCCCGACAGGATGAAGAAATGGAGAATGGATTGCAGTGTGATCATGCCACCTGGGATGGTCCTACTCTCCCTCTATCTCTGTCTCTCTGTCTCTCTGGTAAGTACACATGCCTTCTGGCAGTAAAAAGATACTAGGGAGAGGATAATACCAACCTAGGGATGTCGTAGTGATAAATGGGCTCGTTCATATAAAGCACTCAAACAGTACCTGGCACAGACTGACCACTCAAAATGTTTGCTGTCACCTGCATACTACCCTGAAGTCCATGCCGTACCTGGTACACAATAAAGACTCCTAGAATGAAGGGTAACGTGAACAAATACACTTTTGTATGTCATAAATGACATAATCTCATTCTCTTAGTAACAACGAGCAAAGTCTCAGATGTGCACCATAGTATTCTAATATTGTTTTTCTTCTTAATTGAAAATATGTTTTACATGAGGAGATATTGTTTGGTTTCCTATCTGGATTGAAGTAGGGAATAGGTGTTTGGACGCCAGTACCTGTACTCGGGCCTCAGTCAGTTTTGCCCGCTGGGCCAGCTCCTCCCTGGTATAAATATCAGGGTAGTGGGTTCTTTCAAAAGCACGTTCCAGTTCTTCAAGCTGTTCTGCTGTGAAGGTGGTTCGACTCCTGCGCTGTTTCCTCTTTAGTGGCAAATCCGGTTCGGAGTCAATGTCAGAGCCTTCATCTGATTGGGGTGCTGAGGCTGAAAGCACAAGATGGGGGAAAAGCGACAAAATATTAATGGAAAAACAAGTCTGAGCAAGCTGTGATGACTCAAATCCTGGGCTCAAGTACATTCCCAACATCTCCCATGAACATTAAGTCCCTCGATGGAATACTACATTATCAAATGATACTCGATCTCTTCCCCTACGCAATCTTCCTGCCCCCAGACAAATAATTACTCTTAGCATCTGCCACTCCACGATGAATATGAGCTCTTAGAAAACAGAGCCAGACCTGATTCCATTTTTACACCCCTGGATCCAGCACTTAATGGGTACTCTATTTGTGTCTAATGAATGAATCACATTTAATTTAGCTCCTTGTACCAGCCATGACTCCAGGCAATTGGTTTCCACATGTGATTTTGAGGAGCCAGAGGTGGTACATTGGGAAAACCCAATTCCTTGCAAGGCTGGTCCACATGTGAAGGGCCTAGTTTCCTCCTGGAGATCTCCCTGAGTGTGCCCAACCTCACACGCCCATGGCCCAGAGTTGGCAGAAGCTGGAGAGGGGAACCACAGCATCAAGACCCTGTTGGGATGCTCTTTCTTTGAGTCTCACTGTCTCTCTTGTTCATGGAAGAAATACATAAACTTTCTTTACAATGTGATTTTTTTTTAATCCCAAAATTGACTTAATATCTAAAAACATCAATAACAATAAACTACTGCAGGATTCCTAGATGTTTATTAGACCCTACTTTTCCATAAGAAACATTTTTTTAAATTTAATATCTCATTACTAATCATTGGAAATGCTTTATGGAGAATTTCCATATTGCTAAAGTAAGTCTCAAGAACTAACCCCACGAAAAAACAGGCATCAACTACTGAACTGCCATAAAACTAAAGTTCAGAGTTTTAGTCTCTGCTAAGGGTGTGGTGGGCAGCTGTTCAGGACAGCTGTTTGATTTGAAGAGCCCAGTGTGGAAAAAAAAGTGGGGTCCATTGTTCAAACACTATCACAAGTTTTAAGATGGTAACAAAAGAGCATCAACCCAAGTGCAGAGTCCTTCTGTGCGTGGAGTCCAGGGCAAGTCTACAGAACAAATGTCCACGAAGCCATCTCTGCTCTGACCTCCTTCCCACAAAGCATGTGCTTGCCTGAATTCTCCTGAGAAAGGGGAGTTGGAAATTTAGGAGACAAGTACCTAGGAAGAGGTGGGGGGCTGAGGAAGCCAGTAGAAACTGCATTAACAATACTGTATGATGTCTGCTCCCGTAAGAACAGGGTCCGACTCCTTATAGAAAGAAGCTGTGACTAGAGGCTAGCAAAGCCTCATATTTCTAATTCTTTTTTCATCTTAAACTCAAACTTAACTCTGCCCTGTGGCAATCTAACATTTCATTCTATTTCAGTAGAAGTTATAAGCTGTCCCCAAAAGATACACATCCCAAATGAAAACATGAATATAATTATAGTTCTATATTGTATTCATATGTAACTACTGTGAAATTAAGAGGCAATAGAGTGAATTAGTAATAAAGATGACAAGGCGCCAGCTGGTGGCACAGTAGTAATGCAACACGAGGAAGGTCCCATGTTCGCATCCCAGGACCTCTCTCAGCAGAGAGTATACCTGACCCTGGCCCCCAGGACAGGGAGATCACAGCATGAGGCCCCTGTCAGGGGTTGCTCTCCCTTTCTCTCATTGCCTCTTGTGCAGCTCTCTCTCATGGAAGACATAAACTTTTAAAGTTAATAATAACAACAATATATTATAAATCAAAAAAAATACACCTGAAAACAAATACCAATACTTAAAAGCAAAGGAGAACTATACACTGAACCTACTGTGTCCTCCGTATCCTGCTTGGTTTTTTCAGTTCTATTAACCAATTTAATATAAAATGGTCTCATTTAATATCAGTTTTATTTTAGGATACCTTAGTAGTAACCTTTAAAAAGAAAAAGAGACTTTCTTAACTGTAAGGACATATTAAAAGAGTATTAACGTGCTAAGAAACATACCACACATTGCACTGTGAACTTCAGAAGTTCCCAATATGATTGATAGGCATATGTATTTGATAAATGTGGGCTAAGCTAAAGGAGTGATCATTTGTGCCTAATTGTAGAGCAATGGTTCTCAAACTTTCAGAGCTTTGGTTTTTACTTGGAGAACTTAGTACAACAAGGATTGCTGGTCCCTTTCCATGGTTCTAGATTCAGAGACCCATGGGTGAGTCCAAGAACTTGCATTTCTAAGAGGTTTCAGGTGACCCATTCTAATTCTGCTGATCCTGAATGATAGCTGGAGAACTACCTCTACAGACTATTCCAAATTCATGGTTTTCCCTCTCAAACTTTCTAAGTATGGAAAACATTTCTGCCACAACTTATGAAAAAAAGTTACTTTCACAGATATATTTCTAAATTATAAATGACATGTTTCCTGAGAAACAAATGACTCATCCCCCAAAGAAGACAATAAATTGTCACAAGGTGTTTTTCTTTCTTGTTTCCCATTGCTGTTGCTCCCAGTTTCTGTTTGACATTTCTTTCCAAAGGGAATTCAGGTGGAAAACATCACAGCTTTAAGGACTGACCAAAAGCTTCCTCTGCCTCTAAGAACTCTAAATCTTTTTGCACATTCTCTTACTATGATCCCATTAGGATAATAGTATGTGGAAATTTTCATGTTTCCTTTGGGAGTCTCTGGGGCTATTAAATTCTCCCAAGTAAATATGATGTGCCATGCACTGTCAGGTCAATTAATCAAAATCATCTCTGGTTTCTGAAGAAAAAGACTGGCTAGATTTACAAGCACCACTGAGAATTAATCTTGAGGGTCAAGACCACTGTGTTTCACCTTAACAACCCACACCTCCCAGAATACAAACTCTGGGAGCTCCAGGCCCCGAACCCTAGGAACACAGTAGGTGCCCAATAAATACACGTTGAATGAATGCAAGTGCAGGATACAATTTCAGTCCTGCTCTAACACTGATTTCTCAGTATTTTACATCTTCAAAAAGAGGAATTCCACTCTTAGGAGTCTCTAAACATCTGTTTAGATGAGCTTTGGGTACATGAGAATACTCAAAAATTATTTGGAAAGTTTAGCAAATATCTGAATATTGGCATTTTCTGGGGAATGGTTATCAATTTTTTCAAAGAGGATTGTGTTTTTTTTCTGTGCAATTTGTTTTTTGAAGATGAAGGACTGCCAATGGCTAGTGATAAAATAGACTCAGGATCTTTAGTTCAATGGAATATATTTTTACCACCAAAAATACAATCTTCTTTAACAAGCCCACAGATCACTACTTTTATATCTAGACTGTTTGTTCAAAAGCAACAAAAAGGATGCATTTAACTAAGGAAACCTCCACAAAGCATCATTTCAAGTGACACTGAGAAATTATTTGCCTGATTTTTCTATCAAAAAATTACTTGAACCAACTATTTATTTCCAGCAACATAAAGCCACAGTCTCACAAGTTAATTCTAACCTTTTTCTCATCTAGAAACCCTAAACAGATGTGGACTTTAAAGCATGTAAAGTCAGCAACCCAAGATTAATCTACCAGCTAGAAAAAATCTAGCTATTTCTAAAGATGAAAATACTATTTCTTAAATCCCTCAATACAAATAAAATTCATTATTTCACAGAGCTTGATTCACAGTAAGTGACAGAATTTAAATCATTCAGTTTTTTTTTTCAAGAACAAATCTAAAATGTAAATTCTACTTTAATAGCACATAGGATATTGTCTTGTGGGAGTTCATCTATTCTACATACTCGGTTTCCACTCTAGCTACTAGAACAAATTAGATGTCATACCCAAAGTACTTGGTAGATTCAAAGAATCTAATCCTAAATATTACACAAAAGTAAAAGGGCAATTTAATTAGAGAAACTATATATATTTCCTTTCTCTACAGAAGACCTAATGCAGTGTTTTGGAAATGCTACAATGTTAGCAAGTCAGTTGTCTAAATGAGTTCATAAATTTCTGGGACAAAGCAACTAGATTAGCTATAATAATCTCTTTGGACTATTACTGCTACACTACCTTATTATATTAAAGGAAGATGTTTTTATTGCATTTATGTTGCTCAATTGTATTCTACAGATGTCTTCACAAACACTTTTTTTAGTATTCATTAAATAGAGACATTGTCTTCAGTTTGCAGTTCCACAATAGCTTTCCTAAGGAAAGCCCTATCGATTTACAATGTACAACTTCTAAATGGACGTATCATTGCTTTAAGTAGGATACCAATTTGCAGATTTTATCCCAAATCATATCGTTCTCAGATTTGGAAAGTTTTGACTATTATCAACCCTTCACGACCCACTCTCTGACCTATACATTAGTTTAACTCAATGTTACCAATGACCCTGGAACAAAGGAGGACAATGTCACCAATGACCCCAGGAGGACAAGGATTTCTCTCCCTTCCCGTGTAATGAACAACCCTGGAAAGTCGGTACATACCTCACCATACAGAAACAGGAAAGTGAGAGACTCAGAAAGCATACTCAGGTCTGGCAGCTAAGGAAACAGATTTACCTAGGCCTTTGGGACTGCAGAGGATAGATTCTCTTTCTCTCTTGTAGCATGTAACACCCTAAGTAAGTGTTGAGTCTATTTCTCTCTCTCTCTCTCTCTATCTCTGTCTCTCTCTGTCACACACACACACACACACACACACACACACACACACACACACACATACACACTGTCCTCTTCAAGAACGACAAGAAGAAAG